GTTATGTAACATAAACCAACGGACGTGCTAATCATGGGTGGAAGTAAGCAGTCATTCATGAATGTACATGGTCAGGCATATGGATCTCATGGCACCTGTATACCCATGCACAGACTTAAAATGTTATTGTTAGTATAAGAAAGCAAAATCCCGCGCTTTGAGTTGTACAGCTACGCCTCCTAACCGGCTTATTGCGTTAATGATCACTTATTAGAGTCATCTGTTATTTTGTTGTTGTTGCTATAAGCCTACTAATAAAACAGAATGTCTAGTCTTGGGAAATTACATTGTGATCTCCCGGTAAGAATATGATCTAGCCGCTTATGGCTACTATACTGTTGGTCATACAAAAAATACATAAAGACTAGCCGCCAATGGCTACTCCAATGACGGACACACATACTGACAAGGCTAGGCCAGACGCCAATGGCTACCCCAATGCTGAACACGTTGACGGACATACTTTGACGGACACACATATTGACTTAAAGGCTAGACGCTTTTGGCTATACCATTGACGGACACACGGTGATTTAAAGTCTAAGCGCCCTGTACAATACCACTGACGGACACACACATTGACATAAAGGCCAGCCTCCCATTGCAATACCACCTACGGACACACACACACTGACATAAAGGCAAGTCTCCCGTAGCAATACCACTAACGGACACACACACACTGACATAAAGGCAAGTCTCCCGTAGCAATACCACTAACGGACACACATGCTGACGTAAAGGCCAGCCGCTCATAGCAATACCACTGGCGGACACACACACTGACAAAAAGACTAACCAACGTGTTTCCTTCTATAAATCTCCTGCACCATATAGTGTGCCTTGTCACAAGATAAAAGAAATACTTCCCCACTTCTATCCCACCCCCACCCCCTCCTCCCCGACCCCCAGCATACCATCCCGCCTTTTGTTTCCTACCGATGTCCCGTTGAATTACCCTCCGCCTGAGTATCACCTCACCCTAGTCACCACTGGACGTGTCTTATCGGCCGCTTTAAGTGCCGCAGACATTATTCCGTCTATCAAAGGGAACCCTCCCCCAGCCCGTCTTGTTGCAGGTAATTGGCAATGAACGAGATGAATAACGTGAAATTAATGTGTTTTAGATTTTGGGAGGGAAGTGCCAGAAGAATTAACATGTGGTTCTGGTGTGTTTTTTTTTATGTGCTTGAAGAGTTGCAGGCAAAGTCTAACGCTCACAGCATCGTAAGATTTGGTTGGGTACGTTGAATCAAGTCAAGTTTATAGATGTTGTCATTCTCCTAAAAAAAGCGTTGGGCGGCAACATACGACACTTTCATTACTTGGCTATACTCTAATTTTAGTAATATTTGTTTTGTAAAGAAGAAATACTTGGCTCGACTCTAATTTTAGAAATATTTGTTTTGTAAAGAAGAGAAATAGTCTCGAGTTCAGATCCCAGGCTCAGATCTGCAGGACGCCCCTGAGTATACTTAGCTCTGATTGGTACCTGACTTACGTCAGGGAAACAAAGGCGCCTGGGCATATTGTTGGCAACACTATCTCCTCGTATGTCAAAGGCGTTGAAACGGATGAACGCTACTTCCTCTGCTCCATGCGTCTTGGGCACAAACGGGAAAACATGATGCTTTTTGATTTGTTGTTGTATTAACTGTTAAATGCATCAGAAACAAAATTTAGCCTGGTGAGAACCAAAGCGACAGATACTCGGCAATCAAACCGGTACCTAAGCCAGTTAGACGAAGCTTGTCGTGTTGAGGCCTGTCTGTGTAATGGGAGATGCTGACAGAGAGGCCCCCTAAATAATATTTTCGGAGGGATGTATGTTGTATGTGCGGTATTGACGCCTACATACATCAGTGGTATGAGATTCAGTGGCAGTAAGACAAGCTTAAAGACGTTTATTATGAACTTGTCTTCCTATCAGATACGTACTCTTTCATAACTTTAGTCTACCCCCCCCCCCCCCCCACACGCTCATCAGCATGCTAAGTTAAGCAACTTCTTTTTGTTCGATATTGTATTTTGAATTTGTTGTTTGTCGCAGTCTTTTTTCTTAGGCGACTGTATCGTGTAATTTGGAAATTTTTATTTTAGCACCCCACCCCTTCTCACATAAACCTTACCGGTGGTGGCTGTTTATTGATCTAAACCATTTAAACTTTTAAGATATACTACTTTAATGAATGTAGTATAATCTCTGTTATTTTTACTACAACTTCACCGGCTGGCAATATTCTATCCTATGGATTTTATTTTTTATCATTGTATCCGTGTAAGGTTAAAGGTTAGGGTTCATCATATCACGAACTTCATTTTAATGCCAGCACTACTTAAACGGTAATAGTTAGGATTATAGTTAGGGTTTGATTCTTATTACTATTAGATCTGATTTACATTAGGTTTTATGTCAGGGTTATGATTAAAGATGGCTATGGTCAGTACCGTATTACGATTAGAATCATGCCTTAGGGCGGTTGTATAGACTAGGTATCAATACTTCCGAGATTCATGAAGTTCCTATGCCCCAACTACACATAATGAAGACAAACGCGCATTGTTTTATTAGTAAACTGGAGCCCCAGAATGCCCAGATGGCATCGCGTGCTGAGAATTCTATTCCTGGAGATAGTAACTTAGTGAGTACACAGGTACCCAGGAGTAATGGACCGGTGCGACCTAATGTCTCCATCAGTGAGATGAGACGTAGCGGGCAATGCCAGCCCCCATTCGTTGAGTCAGCCATTACAAATTCACATTGACCGCTTGCTTATCTTCCCTTGATCTGCTCCTTCATTTTTTTAGACGAGTTTTTTTTAAAGGGCGGTAACTTCCAGCGTTTTTTTTAGAATACACTGGGGTCGTGCTCTCGTGATAAAAAGGAAAGAGTGAGTGTTGTATGAATATTTGTTTGTTAGCTGGATACGATTTACTGCTAATTACATTCTCAGTGGGTCGTATATTTAGATATAAACGAATTACCAAAATATGGCTGCAGTTGGTGGGTTAAAATGACGTATTCGAATTCGTTGCTATTTATTTTGTAGTTTCGTTACCAAAACTTTTCCCCAACCCTTGTCCTAATCTTTGACCAATCCCCGGCCTTTACTCTAATCCAAACCCATGTTTCGTTGAGTTCTTTGCTATACTGTTTCGTGGTCCCCTGTGTTTCACCATGCCGGCATTTTCATAGTAACTTACAAGATATGTCGGCATTCGTATACTAGCATTACACTTCTTACGGTGAGCAGATCTGTAGAATAAGTCAAGAAGACAATCTAGATCTGCTGTAGAAGTGTTAGCACACAAGGGAGTTAAATAGCTTTCGCTTGTGGGATCAAAGGCGGAGATGCTGGGGTTGATGAGAGTTATGGTTCTTGCTATAGAGGTCAGGAGTCTATTTTCGATAGATTTCGCTCTCTCATCAAATAGATAGGTCTGTTTTTTTTTTAGTATGGAAAATATATTTAACAAATAATTGAGAGTTAGTATATTAAGCTTCCTTACCAAAATAAATACCGCTCTACCACTGCTTCTAGTAACCAAACCTAACCTTCAACACAAAGACCTAACCTTCACCACCAAGATCTAACTTACACCACAAAGATCTAACTTACACCACAAAGATCTAACTTACACCACCAAGATCTAATTACACCACCAAGATCTAACTTACACCACCAAGATCTAACTTACACCACCAAGATCTAACTTACACCACCAAGATCTAATTACACCACCAAGATCTAACTTACACCACCAAGACCTAACTTACACCACCACCATTGCCTTAACTACACCACTACCTAGCCTTTAAACACTACTACCTAGGCTAAAAAAAAACTACAATCAAGACCTCACCTACACAACTACCACGACCTGACTCACAACTCGCTGACAACCTAACCTAACACACCGCTTAAAGCAAACACTCTGGATATAACTAAAAAAGTATGCTGCCCAATGGAAACACAAGTTCTTGAGCGTAGCCACATGCGTTTTGTTTACTCCCAGACAAAGCTTGCCGAGAGATGACCAACGGCTATTTGTTTAGCCACATGCAGGCACGATTATAAATATTGAAAACATGTAGCTGACTTTGAAGTCGCCAAAGCTGTGAAGAAAAAATTCCAAGTTTTGAATATTTTCACGGTGCAAAGAGGCGCTAGGCTGTTGTTTTAAAAGTGATTACAAACTTGAGGCTAGTCTTCCCACTGACGCACCACGGCGTGAACATATTTCTCTTTGGTGCGCAAGTCCTTCGCTAATCCACGCTCGCATATCTGGAGGCGCTCCACAAAGGCTTCAGTCGTTGGTCAGATCTTGTCACGTGACGCGTCGAAAGCTAATGACTGTTGGGTTACGGTCAGCTTGTCATGGATTTGCAGTTTTATAATTTAAAAAAAATATGGTTAAATTCCGTGGGGATAATTTTATTTGACTTTCTAAATTTTTATGAGATTAAAATAATTTTAATATTTTTAGTTAGACTCATGCAGATTTTGATTTTAATACGTTTGGATTTTCATTTTTAAATCTTAATTTAGTGCCCTTGAAAGTCATTAAAGAGTTAAGAGTTATGGTTAAGGTTAGACTTTTCCAATCTGGGAATTTCACACTTAGTCTGAGCAGTTCTTGTCATTCTTTACATTTTATATAATGCCTTGGAAAAGTATACAACAAAGCAGATATTACATACCTTGCCCAACAACGACGGCCTAGGAATTCTATAGACTGCCGGGGTTTCATAAATTGCCTGTAGCATATATAATGAGAAAGTATTGCTAAAAAAATAAAGGGAAACAAATGTTTCGACTTTTCTACATCGTCAGATTGAGAAATAAAAATGTGTTACACAACCGTTTTCAGTGTTATCCTTTAAATTTGATGATAACAACATACAATGTTTTATTTGATACATTTTTATTTTCATGTACTGTTGTCTTTTAATAATTTTTTAATGTAATCATCTACACATTTCTTCTGTTTGTTTTCAGACATTCAATGGGCCTGATCCCCACCAAACGTAGTTTAAGTCTGGCTGATCGCATCACCGCATCATCGTTCTGCAGGTATTGTTCCCCTTCATCTGGTTCACTTATTGGATTCAGGGTTGAACTAGTGTTAAAGTCCCGCTTCCAAATTGGTCTAGTGGGCAAGTGAAGAAGAGTTCACCAGTTTCTGTGACCTCGGCATATGAAGGGATAGTGAAGTCAGCACTATGCCCAGCCGCCTTGATTTTCCCTAGCTTGAGCTAGGTACCCATCAGAGCTGGGTGGACTTAGGGATGTTCTAACTGACTTGAGCCCAGATTCGAACTTGTGACTTACCGGTTAGCAGTCTAGTGCTCTACCGCTAGGCCACGCCGTCCCTCTGAACTAGTGTAAGAGGAAGAAAAAAAAATTAGTCAAACATGAGTTTTTTAAAAATAAATAATACAATAAGATACTGCTAGAGGAAAGGCTTGTCATTTGAAAGTGGTACAGTGTAGTGAGTACATAGAACAATCTCAGTGTCACCAGTTCAAACCCAACGGTGTAGTAGAAATTAGTACACTTGTAGTTTTATATCAGTATCTATACATGAGTGACGTTAAGGCAATAGAGAATTTGAGTCTTCCCCATCGCTACTCTTACACCCCCCCAACCCTTCTTTTCCTCCACATATTCAGAATTTTATCTAAGATACAAATTTTATTGTTCAGGATTACATAATGTATGTTAAATCAGGTCCTTAATCCCCTCCCCCCTCCTAAAAAGTGGTTCAGCGCCATAAAACTGACATCTGCCTTCTTCCATGGGTCAGTGGTGTCATCTAACATCAATTATAAATGGACGCTCTATTAGTAGAAATGTATGAAAAACACCAGAAATGAACACATCTAATTAACGATTGTTTAAAAAAAAAATCAAATCAAAGGGACTTCAGTTATTTCACTCACCACTTTTTCAGTGTGTTTTATTGCAGTAACTTTTGTTTGCTATCTTGTTGAATTACCTTCCTTGCATGTTTATTTTCTTTTTTTCAGGCGGAGACTACCCGTGTTGATGGTTAGAAATCACATGTCCGAGACACTGAAAGCCGCCACAACCTTTATAGAACAGGGTCGTATCCTTCCAAATCTGTACTGGTCTAAGGGAGATAACACATAAAATAGGACATTTTTTGAATTATTTCCCTTGTCCATATTTAGCTGAACTTTTTGCACTGTATGACCTGTTTCCCTCTATTCATAGAAATACATTCACTTGAAACACTAGCTGATGGTTTACGATGCTGCTTTTAATATTAGATTTTTAATTTTTAAAACAGGTTGCATTGATTCTTTCGCATGAAAGGTTAATTTAACTATTACAGAACTATTATTAGTATTATAGAAATGAAAAGATCTTCTTATATTAATAATAGCTTAATAGTTTTATGTTTATTACTGGAAAAGTGGAATCTCATCACTATAGAGAAAAAAAAACAGTTGCTTTAAGTCACAGAGCATGTTGTATTGAATGTTTTCTTAACTGACACCCAGACGTTAGAGTTGGCCCCCATGTGATTGATGATCCAGCATACCTGGTCACACGGTGTGTTGACTTTTGTATTTATTTAATTTTATACATTTATTAATTATTGGGTGTTTTTTTTTTACCATTGGCTTTGTTTTAAATAAATTGAGTAAGTAATAGATTTTCTTTTAATGTCATAAATTTAATATAAATTTTGTTTGTACCTGTAGGAGTATGGAAGATTTTGTTTCCTGGAAGGACACATCAAAAATAAAGAAACACGTCCAGGAATATAATGATTTGGTATGTACAACACTGAAAATCCGTAGAGTAGTAATTTGTAAAGTAATTTTTTTTGTTTTATAAAGAAGTTATTTAAAACTTTGATTTATTTTTATTTTCAGAGAGATGACTTTGACCTGGCATAGTCTGACTTTTTGTTGTTGTAAAAATTAAAATGTAAATAAAAATATTTTAAAAATCTGTGTTGGTTATTTTTTTTATGTAGTTTTGGATGTTTTATTGTAATATGCTAAGAAAGTGAACTTCCATTAAAAAATCACCATTTATTATCCACAAACAATGGTCATCTTCATCAGCTATTTTAAAGAAGTGTAAGTTAACAATATAATTATAAATAACATTTTACTTTTATTTAATAAGTAAATCAACAATTATAACACAATAAATGTAACATAAACAACCAATTGATCAACCTATTACGGGTATGTACTGAAATTACTAATGCACTCTGATTGCAAGCTTTTTTTCAAATAAACCCAGGCAGCAAAAACAAATAATGGAAATTTTACAAGCACATAGTCGATACTTTAGAAAAAACAAAAACATTTTTTAATATAAAGATACTGTTTTTAAAAGAATACTGATGTACATTATTTTCAAGTCATAAAATAACCACAAAAATTAACTTAATTATTACACAAATTCTCCACTTTATAAACCATACATTATGAAATTTCCAGATCTGGTTGTCTTACATCTTGTATTAACGTGTAGGCTACAATGTTGCTCACCAATTTTTACTTCTGATGTACAATTCCTTCATTAGCTTGATTTAGCTCAAACTAAAAGCAATGTACAAAACTATACATCAGTTCTTTGACACACATCCAAACATAAGTATGGGATTTGGTAATTATGTAGCTTACAAATTTTTAAATAGTGAAGTTTTAGAAATACATGTGAATTCTAGCTGCTTTTTATTCCAAATTTCAAAATAAATTACATGTGAATGAAAATGCCCTTTTAATACAAAGAGCATGTTGCTGGTATTCTAATTTTAAATAGATTAATGCATGGGCTTGAACATTTAAGGCCTTATTTCAAATTATAGTTTTAAACAAATAGGTAGTGAGAAAGTTTTAGAGTTATTAGATGAAGGAGTTAATATTCTCACTGAGGATAGAGAAAGAATTTGATAAAATTGACAGAATGTTGAGGACAAACACAAACTCTAAATCAACATAATATTAATTTTTAAAGGTCTAAAATAAAAAAAATAGGAGTACAAAAAAATAAACAAGTTAATCTAATCTAAAAGATTACCATTCAATTTCAAACAACTATTTAAAAAACCCAAAGTTATTATTAGCTTTTGAAGAAAATCTTGAAGTTGATTCCCAAGACTGCTGCTGTTGTTGAGTAAGGCTTCTTCTAGCCGTCTCCATCTGTTTCTTGAGCTGCAGCAGCTGCTTGTTGATCACCATCAGATTGGCTGCCACAGATTTGATCAAGCTTGTCCCAGCTGCTCGCCTGCTCTCTATGTCATCCAGGGCTTGTTTACGTCTCGTGTTGAATTCCTGTTCAAAGTTATCATTGGCCGCTTCTTCATCAAGTAAAGTCTCCATTTCAAAGTTGTTTAGTTCTTCTTGAAAGTTAAGCTCTGAAATTGGGGTGTTGAAAACATCATTGGTAGCAGTTGATTGAAGACTTGCCTTGAGATTTGAAATGTTGATTTTATCATTTTCCTGAATATCATCAACAGTGCATATATTTGATGGGCCTGGACATTTGGTGTGTTGATTAACAACTGAACCAATGACAGAACTCTGTTTCTCATTATTAGAAAACACTGGGCAAGCTAGTTTAGCAGCAAGGTTTTCAGGTTTATTTTCTTGTTTTTGTTTAGTAAGAGTGGAACACAGCAAGGGAGACAACTCAGCTTGTTTGACTGGGTCATGTTGATTTACTGTGGACTGAATTTCTTCATGTGTGCTTGTAGATGGCACTATGGCATTTTCTTGGTTATACAGTTGGATGTTGTGTTCAATACCAAGCATCTTAGGTTCAAAGCTCCTTGTTTCCAAAAAGTCATTTGTAGTTTTATATGCATTATTTGAAATTATATTCACATTATCAGAAATTGGAATAGAATTGCATGCATTGGAGGTAAGATTATCTGAAGTCATGTGATTTACTGGTAAGTTCTGTTGGACATCAGAAACTAAGATGTTAACATTAGCTAGAGCTGATATGTACACATCACAAGAATTGTTTGAACCATCACCCAGCAGTTTGCGTGATGGAGTCATTAAGTTTTCCTCACTAACATGTAGGATAGAGGTACTGAATGGTTGAGTCTGTGTTTCTGTCTGGCTGTCACACAAGTTTTCCCCAACCACTTGGTTATCTTCTATCACATGCTCAGTGACAGGTTCTATAGGTTTGATGTTCTCTTCACGTAAGCTAGAAATTTCTTCTGGGTGGTTTCTCCCATACTTCGCTGTAACAAAATTATTTACTATGTCAGTCTCTGGCCTCAGTATATCCCTGGTTATATTTGCAGATGTTTTTATTTCCTCAGATGGTCCATGATTAACAACATTATTTATCATTGTTATTTCATGGTGTGACGCCTTGCAACTTGAGTTATCTGGATAACTTTCTTCTTTATTTCTAGTGGGCTGAACACTCACTGTGACCTCCCCAGTTGTGTTATCAATATGTTTAGATGTTTTATTTTGACAAAGTATTGATATAGGTGGGTTATCTAAAATCAGGTTGCTAAATTCATTATAGTCCTGTTTCTGTTCGACAACATTATTTTCTGCTTCTGAACCAGTTGTGAAGTCAATAGATTTAGATGTTTTATTTTGACTAAACATTGAGATAGGTGGATTATCTAAAATCTGGTTGCTAAATTCATTATAGTCCTGTTTTTGTTTAACTGTTTCTGAACCAGTTGTGATGTCAATAGATTTAGATGTTTTATTTTGACTAAAGATTGAGATAGGTGGATTATCTAAAATCTGGTTGCTAAATTGACTATAGTCCTGTGTCTCTTGGTCAACAATATTTTCTTCATCTGAATCACTTAAACTCTCATATTCATCATTGGAAGTTGCTTTTTCTGCCTGAAAAGCATTGCTGTGAGACTTGATTGAATGCTCGCATGTATTATCACCTGTGTTTGTGTTGATATTCAGTTGTGTTGCATCACATATATTTTCTGAAGACATTGTTGGCAAGTTAAGACAAGTTTCTGTATTTAAATCCAATGCCTTGTTTTTTTCCGGGCTAGTACAATTATCCTTGTTTTTATCTTGGCTAGTACAATTATCCTTGTTTTTTTCTGGGGTAGTACAATTATCCTGATTATTATTTTCTTTATTGCTGCTGTCAACTTCTGGCTCTGTAGTAGCATTGCTACTTTTATCAACGCAAATAATAGGATTGTTTAATTGGATTATGTCTTGATCTAAAGTGTGTGTGTTACTTTCTTCCTCCGGTAATGGTGCTAAAACAAGGAGTTGTTGCAACTTAGTGGTATCAACTAGACTAGGGTTATGACTCTCAGTTTGTAAATCTTGTAGTTTCTCAATGTCGCCATTGTTAATAAGTTGTTTTCCTTCATTTGGATTTTGACTACCAGCTGGTGTACTTATTATGTTTGTTGTCAAATTGTCTTTATTTGTAGTGTTGGCCAATCTGAAAAGTTAATAAATGGTTACAATACCAACCTTCTAAATCTCATTCATTAACTTATATCAGCAAGGTTATATACTTGTATGTAATTCTAATAAAATTAATGCTTAGAACGAACTGATGATAAATAAATGTCATAGTTACTGCACTAAGCCACTTTGATCACAAATTTGGTCACTTTGAGATTGACTATTCCTTGGTGCTCTATACTTGGCAATTTTGTTACTTTCTGAAAGAAAATAAGAAAAATACTACAAGAGGACATGGTAAAAGTAAATATTGTATTTTGATTTTCAGGTGAATTTACAGAAATATGCAACTTGCATTAAAGAAACTTATAACACTTCACGTAAAATCATGGTGTACAAAGTATAAATTATCTCTTTAATTAAAATTTCACATAAAGACAGAGTCTCTTCCAGGCATCTCTTCGGGGCCCCCCCGAAGAAAGTCTACCGCCCCCCGAAAATTTCAAGTGCCCCCCCCCCCCCCTGGAGAAAAAAAGTCTGGAAGAATCGCTGTGTAAAGTAGACATCAGTCTATTGCTTGTTCTAGAAATGTATTGAATATAAATATTCTTGACGTAAGCTCCATTTTATTATCATTATAGATAGATCTAGATATATATTTACTATATTATTATATTAAATAATAAAATTAAATATTATGGTAATGACATTTCATTACCATTCTTCTGATTAATCTTCCTCTTCTTTCCCAGCTTGCAAGGCATTTTCAATGATTGGGTGGAGTGTAGATCTAGATTTTAAAAATTTTAACTTATAATTTTATGTAAGAATTTATGTTGTAGATTGTATTTGTAGACTAAATAGATCTAGATCTAGAATCTAGATCTAACTATTAATTTTTTTTTTACTACAGAACAAGACAGCCACAAGTCTAAAGTCTAAGCCGAAGCAGGATCAGGAAGATGTTTATTGTTTGTAGTCTGCTATATTTGCGCATGGGAGGCTACTCCAATCGATTTTTCTAGGATAGAGATAATAATCATACTGACCCCCCCTTTGCGTAACCAATCTTCCGTTTAACACATTTTGTCAACCAGTTTCATTTTAGTTTTATATAATTCTAGATCTTAGATTTGATTAAAATTTGAAAATATTCAATTTTAAAATGAGTACAAATGAAGAAGCTGAACAAGAAGCCTCTCTTGAACTTTATTCATTACAGGTAAAAATAGTTTTTTAGGAAGTAGACCTAGAAGGCCGAACTCTGTCTAGTGTCTGCTGTCTGATTTCTGTTTCTCTGCCTAGCTCAGCTAGATCTAGATCTAGATCTAGATTCTATATCGATATCTAGAGTCTAGATCTAGAATCTAGGGTAAAATCACGATATAGCGTCGGAAATTATTGGGTAATGTTCGTTGAGTTTCGGTAACATTCGTTATTGTAAACCATACTTTATTTGACCGGTGAAAGAAAAATAAAGTCAAGTGCATTAAATTAATGTTTTAACTTAATTTAATGTTTAACTGACAAAAAATTAGCAACAATTAGTAAATCTAAATATTATTAATAAAGTCGAATGTAGTAATTAATGTTTTTTTTAAGAAACAGAAAAAACCTGCAGAAGATTTGCGACAACCAGCTCTAGTTCTGTTAGTAAATAAGACGATTAGGCTAGATTAACTAAAGTTAAAAGTAGTAAGAATAACTAGAATAATGTTTAGTAGCAGCAATAATTAGCACATACACTTAAATAATTAGAAATACAAAATAATTAGCAAAACAGTATTTAAAATGCAACTAAAATCAATCCTTGCACATTTTTAAAAATTATGTACTAAAAATAATATGGCGGCAAATAAATGATGGTTTACAGTAATTCGGGTGGTTTCCGGAACGGGTCGACAGACTACGCCATGGTTTTACTGTTTTTTACTGCTGTACAGTTCCGGAATTATAACCGACGCTATATCGTGATTTTACCGAATCTAGATCTAATCTAGGTCTATAAATACTATTTATATAGTCTAGTTCTAGTCTAGTAAAGTCTAGTTGTTTAGTAGTTGTTAGCAGTTGTTACTACCACTACCACCTGCACAATCACCTAGGGTTTGACCCGTAGTTTGGGGTAGTGACCTTACGCCCGGCTTACAGCTTACGCTCATTCATCAACCTTGCTGTGGTCAGAAACTGACCAGTGTTGGCCGTGGGAAACCCGTGGTCCAGTCAAGCAGAATCTGGTATCTAGCTAGATCTAGATCTACTAGTACTAACTAGATCTAGAATTCTAGAATCTACTACATAATAATATTAATAATAATATATAAAATAGTAAATAGGCTATAGAACTAAAGATGTGAATGAAATAATAAGCCTAAATCTAGTCTAGCTACTAGTTTATGATACAATCGCCCATTTTAAGACACTTTAATAACTTTAATATTATTTGCTTTCTTAAAACACAAGCAACTTACGAAAAACTTTCACTTACAGTTACAGTGTTAGTTAGGGTGTTAATGAACCACCCATTAGCAAATTAGGGCATGCACACACGGTTGATGTCTTAATTAACTGATTATAAATCAGCAGTTCTGAATACTTTAATTAGACATCTGGTATAACACCCTTAGGGCTTAAACATCAAGTAGATAAAACAATGGAAAATCAATGTCGTTATTACTAGTGCTTCCAAAATTATGGTGGATGTAAACAATGATTTTGAAAATAGGACACACCAGAAAAATATAAAGCACACACATATGATCTGAACCAGTTGCTTAAAAATTAAAAAAAAATAATCCTTTTAGCAAAACCACTAAAAACAGTTAAAAAATCTGAAAGTTGTAACAAATCATCTGCTTAAAATGAAATAAAAATCAACCGTTTTCTTTCAGCTTTCACAAGTTGAACAAGCCATTCAGGCTGCTGGAGGTTCTGATGACCTCATCCAATTAAAAAATGACTTACAAGAACTAATTTCTCTCACCAAAGGTAGGCATTTCTATTTTCAAATAGTGTGTCAATTTTATTTTTCAGGATCACTAAGTTTTCTTGGGCCATGACATATGACCCTGACCAAAATGGCACCCATTTGCCCATTAGCCTTGACCTTATAAACTATTGATTCACTGGGAAGCTTATTAGTCTTGAGCTTTTGACCCATTGTGCCAGTGATGGTGTATATCTTCTCTAATTTAGTGATGTAACATAGTGATGTAACTAGAGAACTTGGCTGTTCATATGACATGTTTTTTAATATTGTTTCTGCAGAAAATTTATTGCAAATAAAGAAAGCTAGACTTTTGAAAGAGCTTGAAGATGCTGAAGAATTGAATCCAACTGATGCAGAATCTACATCCAAAGAGCCGGAGTTAGATGAGTACAGTGCTTTTCAAGTAATGACTTTTGTATTTCTATTTTCTCTTCATGATAATTGGTTGATTTTAATTTTTGCATTATTTCTTATTCCTCTTACAATTTTTTCATTTTGATTTTAGGCAGCATTAAGTGGCCAACCAGAAACTAGTGGCAATTCAAAAAGTGTGTACAGCAAAAATAGTAAAACAAATAATGAGGAAGAAGAAAGCAGTGAGGATAGTTCAGATGTTTCTAGTGATGAGTTGGATTCATCTTACTTTTCTGAACTGATTGGAACAAAATGCCGGGCCCCCTTCTATCATGAGTGGGGAGGTCACCATTATGGCAATGCCATGATTTGGTCTGTTAATCCACCCTCTGAAAACGATGATATTAGTAATCATAAGGTAAGTTTATTTTGTGGATATCGGTTATTCATTTAAATATACACAGTAAAAAAAAAACTTTTAACTTAAGGTTAGAAAAAAGAATTTTGGTTAGAATTATTAATTGGCTGTAATAAAAAATAATTTTAAGTATGAAGGAAACAGGTTAAATGAAATAATTTTTTTATAAAAGCCTGCTTTGATTGTTGTGAAATAAATCTGTACTGAAGTTTTTCTTAATACAATATCCATAATAACCACTCTTTTATTCTTTAGGTGCGAGTTATTTTTCTTAATCCTGTTCATCCATCCCTTATTCCATGTAAGTTTTACATGGATGGAGATTGCAGATTTTCAGATGATGATTGTAGGTAAGGTGCTGGTGAATTCTATCCACTTCATATACATTGAGAAGAAGAAAATGTATTGTTTTTTTATAGAATACTTTGTTTCCTAAATGTTAAAATGTGTCTATTGGTCTATAAGGCTTGTCTCTACATAGGACTCAATAGGAGCATAGGTGGCTGAGTTACTTTATCAGGTGTGGATGCTAATGGTGGATGTAGTACATAAGCTGTGAATGCTGGATGTATTACATTAGTGGTGGATGCTGGTTGTGGATGTATTACATTAGTGGTAGATACTATTGGTATATGCTAGTGGGGATGCTGGTTGTGGATATACTACATTAGTAGTGCCCTACAGTGTGTGTGGGGGGGTGGCGTTTGGGGAGAAGAATATAAGTAAAAGAGAGGGGAGGTAATGCTAAGTAGAACCTAGAAACTGGTTATCTACCTGACATATACAGTTATGTTCCAGACGATCTCATGGTCATCCTGTTGCAGTGTCAGAGCTAAAGCCCTACGCTGAACCGGATCACAGGTAATTTTTTTAACTTCTTTTTGTCATGTCACAGCTAGTTTCACTACAAAAGTCAACAACAGCATTCAGAGTCACTATCGGAATTAAAGTCAGTATGATAATAAAAAGTTAGTGTCAGAAGTCAGTGAGAGAATTAAAAGTGAGTCAAATAGCCAGACTTAAGACTTATGATCATACATGTCAGTATTGCTTTTGTTTAGACCAGTTACTTATACAAAATGAAATATTTATTTCTGTTTCTGTTGTATTAAAATATTTGTTTCTGCATCTACTGCAATTTAAAATAAACTGAAGTATAGTTTTACATTGCTAAATTCAATTTTTGTGCTCTGGTTAATTTGAAAAATACCATTTTTTTGTACAATTTATTCAATTTTTGTTGTGTTTACATAGTGTGTAACATAATTTTGTTTGCATTGGAAAACCAGAATAAATATAAAAAGCTCTGTAAACATTTTATAGTACTTTTGTTATAATTTTTTAATAGCAAGATTGTTACATATTTTTGAAGTATTATTGCTTTTCTTTAAAAAAAAATGAGTAGTAAAAATGTAGCGCAATTCATAGATAAATCTTTTACCCTGCAGCCAAATTTCATTCATAAAAACTTTTTTTATTTTCCAGCAAAATCTGTTCAGGCTGTCGTTGTTTGGCTAAATACACAGACGATGTCTGGTACCCAGGGACAATAACTGATGTATGTGATGACCACCAGGTCAACGTCCAGTTTGATGCCCAGAAACTTGAGGCTACTGTCCTTGTGGAACATGTACTTCCACTTGGTGAGTTGTGGTCAGCGTACAATAGCTCACCTGCCTAATAAGTTGTCTGATGGTATAATTATCTCCCATTTTGATAAAAAAAATCTTAGATTAGACTAGTGTTAGAAAAAACTTTTATTTTTAAAATTATTTTATACACTTATGTCTGTTAGACATGGCTGCTGAATTCGATTCTGCAGTGTTAGTAAGAAATTGTAAAATCAACTACATATAAAATCTGCAAGAAGTAAACAGAACTTTAATGGTAGCTCTGTTGATATCATGACCTAGATTAGAAATGGAGTAAATATTATCAATTGCTGTAAGCATCATTAAGGTGCCATAAGCCAATGGACTGAATACTGGGAGCTTGAAGGGATAAGAATAAACTTTTAAAAAAAATTTAAAATTTTTTTTGGTATTTACTAAATATAAAGTAGGTTGTATTATGTCTTTGATAATATTGCATCCCTAACCCAAAATCTGAGCTCATCACTCACCTCAACTATAACCATAATATCTAACTGACATTTATAACCATAGTACTTTACAGACATAATATAGTTCATTTTAATTTGAGAAAGTATTTACACACATTTTAATGCTTTTACTGTAGAAACAAGTACGTTTTAAAGAGTTTTATGTTGTAACCGCTTTATTTAATACTTGATGCAGATGATTCAAGCAGTGATTCTGACAGTGGTGAAGGAACCTCAGGCCAGCAGGCAGACCCTGATGATGATGATGGGGATGTACCAGTCTACCTGTGGAAGCCAGCACAAACAACTGATAAATTGGGAGCTTGGGAAACACACACCAAGGTTAGTGACTTGTCTTTATTGTTCTACTTACATTGCTGTTGTTCTATACCACTAGACTTACTTGTTGGTGGCCTAATATTTACTTGTTGGATAAAGTGATTATCCTTCCTTTTTGTTCTATAAAAGCATATGAAGATATTTGAGTAAAAAATGTGAAGAACACACTTGCTAACCCAAAAGTTGAGATCCTTGCAATAGGGTGTCCCCTGGCTTATTCACCCCTAGCACCCAAACCAGATGGTGCTATTTACAAGGTGGAGGAAGTAGAAACATGATGGAAACAAATGTATCTAATGGCTGGAAATATAATTGAAATACTTAATTTTACAACTTGTTGCAGTCTGTCTGGATTTAGAGGTTATCTAAGAAAGAGAATGTGAACATATGTTGGTTTAGTACATTGTCTCTTGTATATGAATTTTATTACTATAAATATAATCCTTGACTGATTTTTTTTATAGGGGATTGGGTCCAAATTAATGGCTAAAATGGGTTACATCACCGGTCAAGGTTTGGGTCCAAAAGGTGATGGCAGAGCTGAGCCTGTGCCCATTCTTCTCTTACCACAAGGTAAGTTCTACTGTTTGATGTAATACAAAGTCATTTGTTTAATGTGTTCTGGTTCTGGGAAAACATTGCTTGTTGTAGCTACTGCAGTGAAATCAGTTTTAAAAAACAGATTGTCTCTGTTTTCTTCTGTTGCATGTGATTTCGGTGACCTGTGACATAAGCTGTACTATTTTTTAAAAACAAAGCACCACCCCTCCATGTGCTGTTGCTTCTCCTGGTGTCTGCTACCATTAACTTACAGCCAAACTACCACTCTGGTCAATTAATCACTTGTTTAATCCAGTGTACTAGTACCATAATTTTGTGTCAGAGATGACAAAGTATTGTAACCCATGGAATATCATCCATCAGTTCTATAGAAGGTTTTGTTTGTTAACAACAAAAAATACTAACAGATCTAATTATTATAAAAATGAAGTAACATCCATTATTTCATTACAGTACTTAACTGAAGGAACACTTTCTAATAACCTCTTATGTTATTCCCTTATTTGTTTTTAGTAGTTGATTCATTAAATACTACATATTCATTATATTTAGAATGTTTTGTGTATATATTTTGTAGTGTCTAAAACACATAAGCTGGATTTCCATTGATTCCTGCTTTAGTTTTTATCAGCTTCAGTTCTATATCACTTGTTATAAGGTTACTTAATTATAAAAACTGTGGCTTCAGATTAAGGTTTTAAATCAAAGTATTAAATAGTCAGCTACTCTTGACTAAGTGCACAATGTAAACCTTGTCTACTTATTGTAATTTTTCTTGGTTTAGATTTGATTTTACATTTTTTTAAACAATAAAATAAAACAAGAGTTTTCTTAGAAAAAAAGTAATAGAAATGGTGTCGCTTAATTACAACAAATTTTAATACTTTTTAGAATGTAAAAAAATAATTTCTTTAAAAACATTTTAGATGCTTTAATATTTAGCATGAAATGAAGAGAAACAAAGCAATTTTATTTAACAAATCTAATTTAAAGTAAATATGTCTAAAGGTAAATCCCTTGATAAGATCATGGAACTGAAAGAGTTGTCAGGAAATGCTGACCTGTTCAATGCCATGAAAAAACTGGAGAAGAGACAAAAGCACATGGAAAAGAAAGCAATGGAGAAGGAGCAACAGAGGGAGTTGAAGGAGAGCTGGGGAGTGTTTGGTTTCATCAACAAGAAACTTGGACACAAAGGTAAGTCACTCCTACCAACTTTTGCTGGGTACATAGTTTTTGTTATTTTTAGATAGGCGTTGTCTCCCTTGACTCAAAAATATTCTATTCCTAACTCTTGCATAGTGTTCGAATTTGGGCATGTCTAGTTAGATCAAACTGTGCTTAGTGAGATAAATTTTGTGGTATTGTTGGGCATTTTTCTCATTTGAGCAAATTTCTGACACCCATAATAGTCTTGAACTCAGCTCCCAAATCCAATTTAGAAAGTCCCAGTTTTCACTCAGCTAGCTAATGGGTAGCTGATGTAAGTATTTAAAAAGAAAATTTGTTGGGCATTATATTTCCACATTAATTTCCATATGCAAAGCCTTTTAAGAAATGAGATTTGTGCATTATTTTACCTTTTTGACTGAAGATCATACAGGTTGCTTTACTAATCCATCCAGTTACTAGACAGTGTTATCTCACACATAGGTCTCAATTTGTTAAAATGTACACAAAAAGGCAACAAACTAGCAGCAACAGTTTAAATAATTTTATTTTTTAAATATGCTTTAAATAATTGCACAAGCAGTGAAAGTTAGGACTATAATAACAAGAATAAGGAAACAAAATTGTCAAAAATTTTACTCGAAATATACAAAAAAAGAGCTTATCCAGAAGCAACATAACTAGGTCCTCTTAGGCACAGTAAATCACTTTGATTTGTCATACTTTTAATATGCAGATATGCTCATTAAAATCCTCTAAATCCAGTGAATACTAAACAGTATAAAAGCTAATAGAAGTAACAGTTTGTACATTTCTTATACTACAAGCATGTAGATGCTTATAATATTTCTAAACTAGGCATACAACTTTAGTACAGTCACTTGAATATATATTTACAAAGATATGTATTGTCAAAGAAATGAAAGTTTTTTTTTAAATCCCTAATCTTTACTTTAGCTAGCTGTTTAATGTAGGAAGATTTAACTGTTAATCTCACTTGTTCATTGCTCTTTGAAATTTGTTTCTCATGCTCATCATGTGTTCAGTGTAGATTCACTAATCATAGTTTTAATCATTTTATAGTCAAGGTTCTTAAGATACATTTTTAAAGTTTTAACATCCACACTTTGATACTCAGTTTAAAAATAAGTATTAGCACGTTCATATTAACATGCATATCAGTATTTAAATTATATTTAAATTCCTACATTAGTGTGTTTTATGTTGACATTAAAATAATGGAGTTATATGAGGGATAATGTATACACAAAATTTTGTTCTAACTATAATTTATTTTATATAGACAATAACAATTAAAACATATTAGGCAGTAGTAAGCAATCATATATAGCACCATATGACAATAGCATATTTATATGTGCGAACGTAACAGTTTATAATTTGTAATGATATGATACACAGGGCAAAACACAAAAGATCACAGTTCATTAGAAGAAAGTATTGCTTGCAGTTAAGTGATATACGCTAAGAATATTTGTAAGAAATATAGGCATGTTCAGATCTTTTAATATCTACAGTATACATAATTATGTAAGCTTCGCAAAATTCAAGTACAAAAGCTGAAACATGGTTGAGTACATTCTAAAGAATAATTTGAGTAGTAATTTTATCTTTGAAGAAAGACATAAGTACGAATAAACACCTTGTTGTTATTGGCTGGTTGGCCCTTCGTGGAATGTTGTTTTCAGTCATTGGCTGTTTTCTATCCAGTGTCGTAGGTTGTTTCTGTTTTGCTATCCACTGGTGTAGGTTGTTTTTGTTTTGCTATCCAAAATTGAAGGTAGTTTTGCTATCCAATGTCATACGTTGTTTTGCTTTCCAATGTCGTAGGCTGTTTAGCTATCCAAAGTAGTAGGTAGTTTTGATATCCAATGTCGTAGATAGTTTTTCTATTCAATGTCGTGGGCTGTTCAGCTATCCAATGTAGTAGGTAGTCTTCCTGATGGTTCTTAGTGTATTGTCAGGTGTCTCCATCTTTCTTTCTTTTTTCTTGCGATTTCTCTCAGATTGCCTTTCTTATCCCCACCACTGGGAGATGTTGGGGACAAAGAAGGCGAGGGCGACCTAATGGCGGCGATGGCAGCAGAGATGCTGGTACCTTTCTTGACTGGGCTTTGGCTCTCTAGCACGGAGCCTTCTTCCAGTGGCTCCAGGTTGAGGGGTGTTGGAATGTACTTGGTGACCCCGCCTCTGGGGCCAATTTTAAACGTTACCTTGGTCATGTCCGCCTCTGGTTCTGTTGTCTGGATGATGATGTTGCTGGGTTGGGCTGCGCTGCTGGTGGATGATGTTGTGATGGGTGGTTGCATAGGGGTTACCGAGGCACCGTTTCTGGAGTTGAGGGCTAGGGCTTCTTGTATGTCACTTTTACCGACTTCTATTGTATGTCTTCTGTTGAAACCTGATGCAGTGTAACGGGACCGTCGTGGCTCGTAGCGACTCGCACTTTCTGTGGAAGTTTGGTCGATAGTAGCGGTCTCTGGTGTCGTGGTAGTGGCAGTGTTAGTTTCAGTTTGAACACTGTCTGGTTCCTTTGTTGCTGGAGCAGCAGGCGCTGTTGAAGCTGCTGTGCTGGATAGGTAGCTTGAACTGTATCGTGGTCTGATTGGTTCAAATCTTCGTACATATCCTGTTGTTGCTGGCACTTGCTGGTTCTCAGTAGTCGCAGTGGTAGATGTGGTAGATGTGGTGCTGGCCACATCTTTGGGTTGCTGACCATTGTCAGTTACAGCAGAAGTTGTAGCGGCTGAGGTTGTGGTTCTTGTTGAATAACTGGAGCCATACCGTGGGCCTATAGGTTCATATTTTCTCACATACCCTGTAACTGCAGGAGGCGGCTGGGTGCTTGTGGTCACTGGTGTGGAAGTGTCCCCAGCGGCTGTGGACTTGTTGGACTCTGATGTGGTAGTGGCGGTAGTTGAGCTTGTTGCAAATATAGAACTGTAACGAGATTTGATTTGTTGGTACCTGAGTTCTAAATTTGAAGTTGGACTTGTCACTGTTGGTGCGTTGCTTTCAGCTGAGGTTGTTGGTGTTGAGCTAGTGGAGGAGGTAACGGACACTGATGTTTGTCCAGTAGCGACGCTTGCTGTGGTGGTGGTTGATGTTTGTGTTGTGGTGGAGCCAGCCTTGTAGAAGTTGGCAATCAGGGCCATCACGTCAATGCTGTCTGTTTTAGGCTTGACCGTGGTGTTTCTTGCGTATTTGCTGGTGGTTGTCGAGGCCGTGACTGGGGATGTAACTGGTTCTTTAGTCATGACAGTGCTCTCTGTTTTTGTAACCTCTGTTGGTTTTTGTACTATATTAGTTTGTTCCTCTTGCACTATATTTGTTTGAACTACAGGAATTGTTTCAGGAGTAATTTCACGGGTTAAAGTTTTATGTGTTTCAGCTGTTTGCTTATCTGAGATCTTTGTCTCCTCTTCTGCTCTATTGTCTATCTTAACCTCTGTTTTGTTAAAAACTTGACGATTGGTTGAATCTTCAGCCTGCTTGGAGAGTTCACTCTTCGCACTCTCTGTTCTCTGTCTGCCTACACTGTCATCACTAGTGTATTTGCCCCCACTGTCCAGGCTGGAGGATTGAAACTTTGAGAACCCACTTCTCACATGCTGGATGGGGCTCGCGATGTGACGAGGCGACAGGGGCGGAGACGTGCCCTCATGTGTGGGGTAGCTCTCTGTGTTGTGCTCCTCAATGGTTGTGATTGTAGGCTTGGCTTGTAGTGGTGATTGGGGCGGTGTTTTGGTGGATATGAGCATAACCAAAGGCCGGGTGTGTTGACTATCTGAGCTCACAAACCCTTCACTTTGTTTCAGTATCTCCTTCCTTCTCTGCCAGTTTTCTCGCAGGTATTCTATTTTTGATCTCCTATCCGAGGCTGAGCTGATAGCCCTGCGTACAGGCCGAGAGCTGGGGTCACTTTTGTGTATTTCTAAAGGAACATAATCTTTTAACATCAGGGGAGAGACTTGGTCTGAGGAGTGTCGTCTGACGGAAGTCTGGTAATGGTCATGGCCTGGGAATATGTCTGAACCAGATGCCTCTTCAGGGGAGGACACTCTGTCTGCTGAGTACCGCGGGTCTGATGTTTGCTTGACCAGCCGTTTGATGGGGGAACTGGGGACTGAGGCTTCCTCTATCACAGGAGATGGCAGGCTGATGTCGTCGATCCTCATCCCGGATGCCGCACCAAACTGGTACTGTATCATCGTCTCTGATGACGGGTTTGACGCAGCCCCCGCGGTGTTCTGAGTCTGCCGCTCATCGTACGCCATACGGCTGGGCAGAAGTGACCTACCTCTGGTCATGGGTATGTTGGACCTGTCCAGAGACTGGACACGGCCGTTTCTGGAATTTGATCTCGGCCGTGTCTTGACCTCGTGCCTCATGGGGGAAGCATCCTCCCTAGCTAGTTGCCCCTGTTGTAAGATTTCCTTCCTCCTGTTCCTGAAAGTCTCCCTTGCAGTTTGGAACTGAGCGAGATACTCCTTGACATCAGTCGACTCTAAGCCCAAATCTGTATTGTGCCTTCTGGACCTTCTTTCACTAGACCTTTTCTTTGACTTCTCGACCTCATCGTCTTCCTTCGAAACACGCTCAACCTCCTCTTCCAAAGTTACACTTGAACTATCCCTCACAGGACTATCCGAGGATAGCCCCAGCTGAATGTCTGTAAAGTCCAACACCTCTGGGGCAAAGACACTCGTATCCTCTGATGCTAAGGCCACATGACCAAAGGCCTCGTTAACAAGTTCTTCTAAAGATTTAGCCGGGACAATAATATCATAGTGTAACTTCTTCAGCTTGACCTCCGTCATGCCAACCGACTTGCTCAGCACTGCTGGACTCAGCGTGTTGACCTCGGCATCTTTACCCAAGTCCTGGACACACTTGAGCACGCTCACCTCGTGCAGGATGTTCTTCAGGTTCTTCCTCAGCTCCGTCTTACTCTGATCCGACTCCCCGTAGAACTGGTCGTCGGACATCTTGCTGTCGATTTGATTGAGGAGCTGGTGCTCCATTCTCTTGATGTAGAACTGGAACTGGGCCGAGCGTCTCTCCACGGCACGCTTGAGGTCCTCCTTGTGGCGGTGCCACTCAATCATGCTCTGGTTCACCTGGTCGATGGCGTAGGTCACCTTCAGAGCCTGGCCCTGCAGACTCATGATCTTGGTCTGGATCCGGCTCATGTTCCGTATCGCTTCGATGGTGGTCGCCGTGTTGCTGGAGGGTCCACGGTCCACCGTGAAGACGTCGGCCGATAGACCCGTGTCCGCAACGTCTTCAGCGCTGCCGACCGACGAGGGTCGGGAGCTGCCGCTGCTGTGGCTGCGCTTGGGGCTGTCCGAGGGTGTGAACTTGGGGTGGGTCAGTTCCTCGCTCAGCCTGGAGCGGAGGGCGGTGAACTCTGACGGCTTGGGCGAGAGGCTTTTGGGGTCGGCTTGTAGAGATCTGGCCACGAGGTGAGTTTGAACTTCACTCAGGTATTGCTGTGGGGGGAAAATTTAACTATAGTCAGCTGTTTTTGTGAGTTCAAGTTTTAAAACTGTTGAAAATTTAGGGAGGAATATCTTAAAAATACATACATTATACCCTAAATTATATACAATATCAACGATTTGATATTGAGAAGTTTCTGATTAGATAAACAGCTAAAAAATTTTAACCCCTTAAGTCTTAAGTTTTATTCTGAAACATTGATCTTGCGATAATATTTAAATACAACCCAAGGAAAGATAGTGAAAGCTCTAGAGCGTACCTGACACAACCTGTTGAGCAACGGGTTGTCCGGTATCCCGACAATGCCATTGGGCGGCAGTCTGGCCTGGTAGGAGCACTGCGGGCAGACGACCACGGTGCCCCCAGCAGCCGAGTGGCTGACGGCGTTGACGATACACGGCCTGCAGAAGCTGTGCAGGCAGGGCAACAGCTTCGGCTGCCTGTAAACAGCCTGGCACATGCGACAAAACAGCAGTGTCGCCTGGGACTCTTGCGCGCCGCTAGGGTCGCTGCTATCCATTCGTTTCTTTTATCCGAAAAATGTCGAAATGTTGAAGTGTGGATATATCACTTCCGTTTCAGAAAATAATCACGTTGGAATCAACATTCGTTAAGGCCATGTTTTGTGAATGTGAATCTTTATATCGAAAACGATCACATTGTTTATTTGTGTAGTTGAAGTTCTCTGTCAAAGGCAAGATGGCACTGTTTCATATTAATTTATCCCGCTTTAGGTCTATATTGGAGGCGAAATGGTTTTCCTTCTTCCATATGTGGCTTCATATTACATTAAATCTGAAACAAAAAAAAAAACGTTAGTTTAAAAAAACTGAATTAGTTCAACTAATTTTTTATAACAGTTAAAACGTACAATACATGAAAAAAAAGGAACGTTGTAAAAAAAGTTATCAAGTAATGTACGATTGTGTGGTGAAGGGCGAAGTGGGGGGGGGGGGGGGGGGTGACAATGCTGTCCTGTGGAGAAGTCTCATAGAGTGAGTGACTAACGCATGATTATGGGGGTGTGGCCTGGACTCATCGCGTGTAGCTGTGTGTCATGTGACCATCGCTAATGTCGAGATGTATGGCCAGTACCCATCACAGTCGGGATGTATGGCCAGTACCCATCACAGTCGGGATGTATGGCCAGTACTCATCACATTCGGGATGTATGGCCAGTACTCATCACATTCGGGATGTATGGCCAGTACTCATCACATTCGGGATGTATGGCCAGTACTCATCACATTCGGGATGTATGGCCAGTACTCATCACAGTCGGGATGTATGGCCAGTACTCATCACAGTCGGGATGTATGGCCAGTACTCATCACATTCGGGATGTATGGCCAGTACTCATCACATTCGGGATGTATGGCCAGTACTCATCACATTCGGGATGTATGGCCAGTACTCATCACATTCGGGATGTATGGCCAGTACTCATCACATTCGGGATGTATGGCCAGTACTCATCACATGTGTGACCATCGCTAATGTCGGGATGTATGGCCAGTACTCATCACATGTGTGACCATCGCTAATGTCGGGATGTATGGCCAGTACTCATCACATGTGTGACCATCGCTAATGTCGGGATGTATGGCCAGTACTCATCACATGTGTGACCATCGCTAATGTCGGGATGTATGGCCAGTACTCATCACATGTGTGACCATCGCTAATGTCGGGATGTATGGCCAGTACTCATCACATGTGTGACCATCGCTAATGTCGGGATGTATGGCCAGTACTCATCACATGTGTGACCATCGTTAATGTCGGGATGTATGGCCAGTACTCATCACATGTGTGACCATCGTTAATGTCGGGATGTATGGCCAGTACTCATCACATTCGGGATGTATGGCCAGTACCCATCACCTATTTGACCATCGCTAATGTCGGGATGTATGGCCAGTACCCATCACATTCGGGATGTATGGCCAGTACCCATCACATGCAACGATGTGTATTGTCCGGTACAGACTTTATCCTCCGGTAAGAAAAGTACATGGGGGACAGAGGACGACCCAGTACCTGCCTTAAAGCTCTACCATAACAACGGTCTATCAAGTTTTGTCCCTTTAGTTTCCGCCTTCTTGACCCCTGTTCTAGTGCTTGAAATAACGGCCTTTTTTGCCCCTGTTCTAGTGGTTGAAATAACTTACTGCCTTTTTTGCCCCTGTTCTAGTGGTTGAAATAACTTACTGCCTTTTTTACCCCTGTTCTAGTGAGAGGTATTCACGGTTAAAACCGTAGTCCTCAGCGTGTATTATAATCGAGCCCGTTCTTTACTTCCAACTGTTAAGCCGCTGTAATCGATAGTGTATAAAACGAGGATATTATTGAAAGCTCGGGCTAACACAATACGTCTATAAATATAATAATTATTGATCTCGGTCACGTTTTTTTCTATCATCGTGGTAGAGAAACAAAAGAATCGATGCAACAGTATCCGTCCTTCAACGCATACAACACCCACAACAATATCAGACCTTCAACGCATACAACACACACGTACAACAATATCAGACCTTTTTAGCCTGGTGATAGTGCTGACACGGCAACGATTACAACACATTCAACATCTGACCTTCAACACATACAACACACCTACAACAATATCCGACCCTGACCACATACAACACACCCATATAACAATACCCGGCACTCAACACATACACCCCTGACCACATACAACCCTGGCCACATACAACACACCCATACAACAATATTTGACACTCAACACATACAACGCTGCCCACTTACAACCCTGACCACATACAACACACCCATACACAACAATATCCGACCCTCAACACATGCAACACACGCGTACATTACCGATGAGTTAATAGGTAACTAAATCATGTTTATTTTAACATTGAATACCGATTTGAAAACTTCAGATATCTGTAATAATAATAATCTATAAAAAATATTTACACATCTACACAAATTAATTACTAGCATACATACTTTACGGAGCACACAATGCTGTTTAAAGTTCACGTGACATAATAAATCTATACATAGTGAGTCACATAGTGGGAACCTCATGAGGTCCGCTGGCCAGCAGTGCGTCTAGTCTCACCAGATTCATACCTTTGATCTTATTGAAATAATTTAGTTAATCCTAAATAACCTACCTGTGATGCCGATACAATGAAAAACTTGTTACTGCACGTTTGACTGAACTATATGTTAAATGCATGAAGTAAAACAAGCCCTATAAAGCGCCCTAGTGAAGGTCTACCTGAAACTGTCCCATCCAGAAGAAAGAACGGTGCACGTTTTACCTATGTAGTGTAGGATATTGACAGCTTTATTTACGGCCACTGTCAGCATGTCACGGCCCATCAACCAACACCGAGATGTTACGGCACACTGCACCCCCTCTCCCCCCACACACACCATCGCGTCCCTTAACCACACACTTAATGTATATCGTTGCTGCGTGGACTAACTTAAATGCTGTATTGTTGCACCTATCTGAATGTATTCAAGTAGAGAAGCTATAAAAAAATGTAATCATACCCTTTACGTCACACGTCATGATACTAAAGAAATCTACATAAAATTTTATCACTAGAATCTAGTGCCTATGCTAGGTAGAACTGAAACACTGATAGCAGTCTATTATTATCCAGACAATTGCAGGTATGACTATAGGATAAGCAGAACTTAAAACATGGTTTGTGGTACTAGTGTCGAGATTTAGAGGGGGCGGAGATAAAGTCAGTCCATAGAAATGTGATATTCTGTGGGTGTTCTCGTGTTATAATAACGCTTTACTATAGAGGAAATAGAGACGTCCTGCTGTTGTAGTATCATGCACAGTCAAAGTAACAGAGGCATCATAGGTTAGGTAACCGTGTCTTGTGGTGGTGTCAAAAAATCTAAACATTCAGAGTTTCTTTCATATTTTTCCGTTGGTGGGGGGGGGGTGGGGGGGTGGGGTTCAAATTATTTGGGGGGGGGGGTGAGTGTGAAAGCGGACGGTGATTAAAATATATATGTATTTTCTATACAACTTTTATATTTTTGCTGTCGTTCGGTTTGTGGGTGTGGGGGGGGGGGGGGGGTGTCTCTATCTCCCCCTTCCCCCCGTCCCTTCAAAGAGATGTCTCTGGTAACATTAAGGAACATTACCATAACATTCCCCGTCCCTTGTACTATACACCTGTGTGCTGTGGACTACGTTCCTTACATTTATAGCGTCACACCTCCATGACAATGGGACTCTAATACACTACCAGAGTGTATGAGGCACGCTTTTTGCTGGGAGGTGTACCAGTAACATGTAGAATTATTGTTTTACTAGAGATGGGATTATTGCCATGTGGGGTGGGGGGTAATTTATAGGGGTTTCTTTAAGACATTTAGGGGGGGGGGGTAACCACCTAGTGCCCCCCCCCTCTCCCCCGATATGTTTGAAAGACACTGACCGGTGGTGGGGGTACTATTCTAGACCCCATGTTCATATTGTGCGACCTCACTGTCGGTCATTTCATGTAACTGACATAACGAGTGTTCTAGTTGCTGCGTTATTTATTCTTAGTCTCAGCATATCGATTTTTTATTTTATTTGTAAAATATATACACACAGAAATTTCATTACAATTAAATTTAAGTCTCATCCCATTGGAATAAAAAAAAATCAATAGTCAACGACGATGTAAAGACAATAGTCAAAGTAGTATTAGTTCAAAACATTTTTCCTGCCCCCCCCCCCCCTCCCCTCTCTTAGAATCAATGTGTGAACAAGACAAGGAGGGAAAGATCATGGCCCAGATAATCATTATATCCAACAAGACTTGGAAAGGGAAACTAGCATTTTTGACAAGTTGAACCAGTTATCCCTCTTTAATTAAATCTCTTATTTCTACAGCATCATTAATTGAAAATCTCTACCCAGACAGGTCACATTGAGTTGATTTTCTTGTTCAGATAAAAAGTAAAGAAAGTATAGTTAACTTTTCAAACATGACGGTCTATAGGGCAAGTGAAGTAGAATTCACTTGTTTCTGTGACCTCGGCATATGAAGAGATAGTATGGTCAGCGCTATGCTCAGCCGTCTTTAGGTACCCGTGGACTTAAACCCTGATTCGAACTCGAAACTTACGGGTTAGCAGTCCAGCTCTCTACCGCTAGACCACTCCGTCCCATCTTATTCAGATTACCTACCACATTTTCGACGTTACTTATAACATAATAGCCTACTTTATAAATGATAATCCGACTTTATATAACGACTCAAAGCTATATCATATTCTCAATAAACCTAGCCAAACCCAAATCTTATTTTTATACTAACTATTCAAATTTTATGCCCTTCAATGTTTACCTTGGGGGTAGTTAATCTTAATGTCAGACGTTTTCAGCCAGCGATTTACCTGCATAATTTAATGGGCCTTGTCTGTGTCAGGTGATAATGGTAATCAACAATGCGTTCAATTGCTGGTAATGTGAGAGCTTATTTAGGCCAACATAGCGCCGTTATTAGAACTAACGGTAACTGTAATATATTTACCTTCATTTAAAAAAAAAAGTTTATTCCTGTTGCTGTTGTGTGGTAATAATTAATATTAGTTGCTAAAAAAAGTAATTTCTCCCGACTCTAAGAACAATCAAAGATAAAACACTTACCGTATTGATCACAATTGATGTATTTATTTAAAACTAGGGCCTATAGGCCTAGCCTACACCAATGCGACACTCGGTACGCTATTTGAGGAATTGTGGGTACAGGCGTTATAGATTTGTCCTGCAGTGAAAACTAGTGCAATGGTTCGGCTAGGTTGAGCACATTTTCATCGCCATAAATATTTTAAACACAGCACACCACCTGACTGTTTTGTTTACAAAGAAATCCAGACAGATGCACCTTTGAAAGTAGTTCTTAGTTATTTAGCGCGTATTTTAATTATACTTACCCAAACTTTACGTTTTCAGTTCATGAAACATTTCCAAAATAGAATGCATTTTGAAGGTAGGCCTATGCACAGTTCACGGTAGTTAACAGAAAACGGTATACACAACACAGCTATGATTCTATATCCGCTAGGTTGTCTAGCTAAGGACGACACAGGACTGTCCCCATACCCAGTCGTATCCCATCCACTACATAGATCCACCTACCTCTCCTGTGCCTGTAGCTAGATCTAGTATAGCCTAACCCCGACTCGTGTGTCCTAAGTCTAGACACTGGCTACACGGCGTTTTGTTTATTGTGTGTAGTAGCTCCACCTCGGCACGCGGAAATGGCGTCTGTATTGATCAGACGAACACACCAGCTGTTCGATCGTAGCCTCGACTCACCCGGTGCATTACGTATTCCCTGTGTGTCGCGGGGGCTAAGTTTTAAAAAAAAAATGTTAGGAGACGTTTGAAAAAAAAAAACCACCACACTTTACCGCACGGCGGGGCGTGCCAGGATTGTGTGTCACATTATGAACGATACCGTGTCAACCGGCCGGGGGAGAGACCAACACGGCGCACTCAGACGGATCCGTCTGACGCACGATTAACATTCGACTGTAAGGATACGGCAGTGTCATCAAGTAGTTGGATCTGTATGTTGATTTAGGTCAGATGTTGTTTAAAATAAAAGTGAAATATCCGATCTATAAATGCTGACTTAAGTCAAGTGCTGCTCAAATAGAAATGGTCAGATGAGTGTTTTATCTCAGACTATTTTTTTCGGGGGAGGGGGGGGGGGGGGGGGACGACGACGGACGGACTTCTGTGAAAGTTCTATTTCATGGTGGGGGGGGGGGGGGGGGGGAGGATGTTTCGGAAATAGAAATGATGAAATATCGGATCTATAAGCTGACTTTGGTCATATAGCCGCTCAAGTAAAAATTATTGGATCTGGATCTATGAGGTGACTGGCCATATAGATTGTATCTCTAATAGAATTGCAATATTGAATCTGTAAGCCGACTGTGGTCAGATAGATTGTATCTCAATTAGAATTGCTATCTTGAATTTGTAAGCCATCTGTGGTCAGATAGCCGCTCGTGCATATTTCAACGTCCCCAGACACGGAGGTGGAGTGGAAGGGGGACTCAGGCCATTAGGTTCACACCGTTTTATCGTCACTAGGGCGTCGGGCTAAGCGCCTGTGGCGAGTTTTTGACCGTATAGAGAGTGGAAACTGGTTTTAGCTAACATATAATTCAACAGCGTCATTTACATTGTTGATGGGCTTTATACAGAGGTGTATGTTTAAATCTCGGTTGTATTTTTCCCACGTTTTCTTTAACTTGCTTTCTCTGTTTGTTTGTTTGTTTGTTTTTCCAATCAAATCTTGCGATCGAAATTTCTGGCACTTCCCAGTTAGCTAGCGCGCTGAAATTTTCAGGGAAGCTTTCTTTTGGATGACCATAGAATATTCAATTGTTATTATTACTAAATTGATCAATGGAAACATTTTATTGAGCATTTTAGACCGCTATATAATCTATATATATAATTCTCCTCTGCGAGCCATTAGAAAAAAAACCAGCGACGCGTAGCTCGCCTCTCTCTTGCCGCGCGCAGTGAAGCGAACGATCCCACGTCGCGACAGGCTTAGGGGCAGATAATTTAGTTTGAACCGACTTTAAACTTACAGGAGGTAACTATTACCACTGGTCGAGTGGTTGGGCACACGATTGCTTTCCCACTCGACACGGGTTCAAATCTATGTGTTCTAGTCAGTAACCAGCCCTCGTCCTAACCGCTATCAACTAACCTCTGACAATCATTCACTTGCGATTGAGACCGAAGAAGAAAGGGTCTCTCATTTTTTACGAGTTGTCTTTTTACGAGTTGTCTTCGTTTACCCAAAAAAAAAGTGAAAAGATAAAACCGATAGCAAGATTTCAATGCAAAGAAACAGACAAAGACTAAAAAGTAGAAAATAATAATCATTAAAAAAGTTTTTAAAAACCCACGTTTTCTGATTGAACTAAAAAGTAGAAAATAAATACTTTACATCACAATAATGCAAGCGATCACTCTACTATAAGCGATGATAAACGGGGGGCGCCGTGATTTTCTTACAGTTTCTAATACTGTTGACTCTCTACAAGCTCCCTAATAAAAGTCAATAGTATTATCTAATCAATAGTAATATAACTTTTACTTCGGCGCCCCACGTTTTTCATCGCTTATAGTAGAGTGATCGCTTGCATTATTGTGATGTATAGTATTTATTTTCTACTTTTTAGTTCAATTAGAAAACGTGGGTTTTTAAAAACTTTTTAAATGATTATTATTGGTTTCTTAATGTTCTGAATACATATAAATAACATATATATATATATATATATATATATATATATATATATATATATATATATATATATATATATATAAGAAAAGAATCTACTGGATAGAACTTTTAAACTAGATCTAATAGGCACTTCCTTCAGACGCAACAGATAGGTCCAGATCTAATTACTTTAAAAAACTGAGAACGAAAAAAAATTCGGTTCATACATGCCTAGAAAATAGGTTTATCTAGATGTAGTTACCTTTCAAATATTGCTGATCATTGAAATACCACAAACATACACAGCTAAAATATTCCGTAGAACGACGTGTTTATACTTTCCTCACTAAAGACGTGTGTCAGACACAGGGACCTGGCCCTATGAAGAGGATTTCACCAAGCACGGCTGCCAGCGGGATCTGTCTGTCCTATAGCGGATCTCTACCAATAGCGGACCCGATCCGTACAAATAGCGGCCCATTCAAAATACGTTTAGGGGCTCGAGATAAAAACCGGAACCGTTTTTTTCTCCTGCTACAAAAATAACAGTTTGTCACGTGACCGTTTGTTTGCCAATGTTTGTGGGTTCTGGTATTTAGTAGATAGGATATCGTGTGGATAGTTTGTATTGGGGGAGGGGGGTGAGTGGGTAGGTCGTGTTTATTTTTGTCATGAAGATTAAGTGATGTTATCTGTATTTTGTATCATTGGTTCAGGGATGTTATTTGTATCGTGGGGATTAAGTATGGCTATTAGTATCATGGGGATTAGGTGATGTTATTTATATTATGAGGGGTAGATGCTGTTGTTAGTATTATGCGATAGTAGGACCAAGTCTTGTCTTTTGTATCGGTACATATTTCTAATTGAAATATTGACGACTATTTTCATGTACACACCGATGGCTATGTCATTAGTCTGGCTATGTTGTATGTAAGCTAGTGATCAAAGGGGACATTTTTACATGCAATATACAAGTGGTTTGTTTAAATTAAAAAAAAAAAGAATTAATAAAGTAGATGAGTAACGGCTGCTGTCAGAAAAATTTGGTCTAAAGTACTCCTACAATTAGTCGGTAGCCTGGTAAGGTAGCCTACTAGCACTGTTGGCCGACCACCACGGTACTTCCAGCAACCGTGTGGCTACATTCCCCTTGAGGTTCATAAAACAGGTACAGTAGAGTTCATCTGACCTCGGTATATGAAGGCATTCGGCTAACACCAAGCACCATGACCCCAATCTAGTCGCCAGTAAAATAAAAAGGTTCTTTATATCAATTCTTCAAAACGTATTTTGACGTATCAGTATTACTGAGACTGTTACTGAGACATGCTAATTAATGGACCTGGGTGTTTACATCACGTACCAGTGCTTTCTTGAAGACCTTATTCTTCTTCGTTTTTAATGTTAGTGTTGGAAGGGATCCCCTCCAACATAAGTATACGTGTCAACTGGTTATGCGCCATTGAGGCCATTGACTCCGATTTCAGCCCTCTTTTCGTTTTGGATTTGCTTTCATAGCCTTTGTCCAAACAAGAACAAACTACAAGGCAGCAGTTGTCTTTCCTAGAAGAGTGGCTGTCGCCAGCTAACGAGCCTCATCTGCCTGGGGGTTCGAACTCGAGACTTCTTCGGTTCAGCAACCATGAGCTTTACCGACTCGACCACGCCGACCCGTTATTGATGACCGATTTATTTGTTTGATTTGACCAATTCAGCAATCAATCACGCAATTAATATTGTCAACAACCTGTCTGAACTACTATGTTCTAATATAAACTTATTTCTAACTAGTTTTATTTTACCCCGTGCCCACATGTTTTCCTATAAGTTGATTGATTGTGTAAACCTAAACCCTACCCAAAGACAACACAAGACGATCAGAATTCCACCCTTCCCAGCATGTAATTAGCTCAGTGTACTTGAACAGTTGACCGAACTAACGGCAGATAAGTGCCACTAAGCTGACTGGAGATAAGAATTCCAGCCCCCGTCTGGATCAGTAAATAATACCAGAGTCAGGACATTTATATGTACTTGTGTTCAATCGTGTTGTAAAACATGTAAGAAGTTTTTTTATAACGTGTTGTAAAGCATGTAAGAAGTTTTGTTCACGCATGTAAAAATGCATGTAGGAAGTTATGTTACGTCGTGTTACAAAGCATGTAAGAATGTATGTTAAATCGCGTTATAAAGCAGAAAGAATGTATGTTAAATCGTTTTATAAAGCAGTAAGAATATATGTTAAATCGTGTTATAAAGCATGTAAGAAGTTTTTTATAACGTGTCATAAAGCATGTAAGAATGTATGTATATCGTGTCATAAAGCATGTACGAGTGTGTTATTTCGTGTTATAAAGCATGTAAAAATGTATGTTAGAAGTTTTGTTCTTATATCGTTTTAAAAAGCTTGCAAGAAGTGATTGTAAAGACCAGACGCAGTAAACGTATAAAGCTAATCAGAATATGATATAGAAGATGCATTAAAGTTTGACGTGTTCTTGTTGAATGTTTGTCTCTATTGACTTTCTTCTGCCTCGATTGCTCTAGATCTACACATTTTTACTTATTCGGCAAACTTGAGTCTGTCCCTTTTTTTTTTAAATTTATTTTTAAAAAAATTTTCTCCTCCATACACCCGGTATGTGCTAATTCTTTTCATCATCTTCTCCCGTTCGTGCCACTAATTTTCTCGAGAGTTTCGGGTTAGCTGTCTAGAGCCCTACCGCTAGGCCACGCCGTTCCATCAAATTCTTTTACTTAAGTTAACAAAACAGACATTGAAATGTATGGGGCCATTAAAACAGAGTAGGTTCTACTGGGATAACGTCACGGATCTCTTAAACGTTTTCGCACAGTTGACACAGGTTCAAAACCTTATCTAAACAACTTGAC